CGCAATCCAAAGCTAATTCTGAACCAAGGAACATTTAAGCCTTTCCAATAAGAGCTTTGAACTAAAGTGCCCTGGTAGCAATGTGGCATGCAATAAAATAGCTTTATATTTAGGGTCCTTCAGCCCAACCTATACTGAAGAAGCTACTTCTGAAAATCCGCCCAACAGAGCCACTTTTATCTAGGAAAACAGTATTATCGTTTGCACATACCATAAGATAAAGGTGAGTGAGCATAACAGTGCCTTTCAAGAACAAAATTGGAAGTGATCCTTGCGAAAGTGGAAAACTGAAGCCTCGTGACAAGGCCATGGGGCAGAATAACCACAGATCTGTGAGAAATTCAGGCCGAACTAAGGCCTTGTTTGTGTTCAGTTCTATTACATTCAACTTGCTTCCAATGCAGTCATGTCAAACCACCACCTACAGAGAAATTAATGAGGGGGAAACTGAAATACTTCTTTTTGTTATTATGAAGGGATGATTTATTGACTAACAGAGATTGCTCGTTTCAGTCATTTTTTATTTTGCAGAGAACTCATCTGATTTTGACATCTCAATGTTAGATATAACATTCCAGATTAATATGTCTTCTAAAATTTTATATCCAATTCACACACATACACGTTTCCACTTCTTTTATTCCTTCAAGCTATTCAACCCTTGGTTAGGTTTTGTTTTAAAACACAGCCCGACACATTTTTTTAATCGAAACCCATTTTGCATTATCAAACGTAGCTACTTAGTCAACACCTTACAGTGGTACCTCAGGTTACATATGCTTCAGGTTACATACGCTTCAGGTTACAGACTCCGCTAACCCAGAAATAGTACCTCAGGTTAAGAACTTTGCTTCAGGATGAGAACAGAAATTGTGCTCTGACGGCGTGGCAGCAGTGGGAGGCCCCATTAGCTAAAGTGGTGCTTCAGGTTAAGAACAGTTTCAGGTTAAGAACGGACCTCCGGAACAAATTAAGTACGTAACCAGAGGTACCACTGTATTGATGCGAAGAATGAAAATACAAAACAAGAAGGCTGGAAGTTGCGACTGACAAATTAGCACTTCACAACCCCAACTGCCCACCTCCCATGTTGATGGTGACTGGGTCCACACTCCTTACAAAAAGCTTCCAGCAGTGTACCCTGGTGGTCTTGTGCCCATGGAATTCCCTCCCCAATGAGGTGTGTTTCACACCTTTTAGGAAACATCTTTTTCAAAAAGCTTTCGGGGGGGGGGAGGAATGGGGTGAAGAATTGTTTGTTGATCTCCCATAGTCGGATTTGTAAATGCATAATTTCATGCTGTCTTCTCCTATTGTGTCTTAAGAGTTATACACACATATGCCTCCTATGTAGTTGTGGCATTTGTTTGTATTTTTATTGTAATACAGCGGTACCTCTGATTATGTACTTAATTCGTTCCGGAGGTCCGTTCTTAACCTGAAACTGTTCTTAACCTGAAACACCACTTTAGCTAATGGGGCCTCCCGCTGCCTCTGCACCGCCGCTGTGAGATTTCTGTTCTCATCCTGAAGCAAAGTTCTTAACCCGAGGTACTATTTCTGGGTATGTGGAGTCTGTAACCTAAAGTGTATGTAACCTGAAGTGTATGTAACCCGAGGTACCACTGTATATAAGACTGACCTACGTTATTTTTACAAAGAACTCTGGACCAGTCCTGAGGAACGTTGTCTAACATAGCTAGCAAAGTATGATGCCCATTAGGAAAGAAATACAAGCAACAAGAGATGGGCTTTGTTTCAGCAACTCCCAGCTTAATAGAAAAAGTATACAGTGGTACCTTGGTTTTCTAACGAAATGTGTCCTGGGAAATCCGTTCAATTCTCAGAACCGTTCAAAAACCAAAGCGCAGCTTCTGATTGGCTGCAGGAGCATCCTACAGCCAATCGAAAGCCGTGGAAGCCGAGCCAGACGTTCAGCTTCCGAAAATTGTTTGAAAACCGGAACACTCACTTCCAGGTTTTGATCATTCGGGAGCTAATTTGTTTGGGAGCCAAGGCATTTGGCTTCTAAGATACAACTGTACTTTGTTAAGATTGCTTCATACAGAGCGATTCCTGGCCCTACTGTTCTCTCCTATCCTCTCTAACACTCTCCCAATCCTTTCTTCCATACTTCCTGTTCCTCCTTCAAAGTCCTCCCTTGCTACTGCTGGGTTTATTTTTCATCTTCATACATATTTCTACAAGCTGACACTTTCTGTTCTGTTTTTAAAAGCTGAAAAAAGGCATGACTAAATGGAGATAAACGACAATGCCATGAAAGTTGGTGATTATTCAAGCACGCATGAAAACTATCACTGCAAGTAACTGAATATCAGAGAAACACATGCTATCACTCCCTCTCCCCAAAAGCACAGTGCTATGTCATAAAACTGAAAGGACATATAGCAAAAAATAATTTAAGCAATGTATGACAATATTACAAATATGCCCTAGAGAATGAAACAGCTGCTCCATCCACACAGTTCCATGATCTCTGCAGGTACTATGTTCAAATTCATTAGTCTGCTACTACAGCTTTAGACTATTATTAAGTATGCCAGATGGCAATGTTTTTATATCCTCTTCAAATTGCTCATTTATCCTGAATTCACATAGAAGGCAAGGAAAAGACCGAACCGGGTTCCTGTCCTGCTAACTCTTCCCTTGGAGTCACCAGAAGTCCAGAGGCTCAAGGACCTAAAAGCTCTTTCCCATTCTCCATAACTGCACTGAGTAACTTGAAGTATGCATGGTCACGACCAGTCCTCAGTAGAAACTGACCCATGCTTTACAACAGTCAGGTACAACAGTTCAGAACCACAACTCATACCAACATACATGTACATGGTTTAAAGCCCCTAAAGCTGGTCTAGTAGCCCACCGGCCACTGGTGAAATACAATTCCCATCAACCCCAGCAAGCATGATCATAGAATTATAGAATTGGAAGGGACCCCAAGGGTCATCAAGCCCAACCCCCTGCAATGCAGGAATCTCAGCTAAAGCATCCATGACAGATGCCCATCCAACCTCTGCTTAAAAACCTCCTTCTTTTAGGAATTCTAGGTGCTGAAACCCCAATGGAGCAGAAAAGACTACAGTCATACCTCGGGATAAATACGCTTCAGGATAAGTATTTTCGGGTTGCGTTCCGTGGCGACCCAGAAGTAACGGAGCACATTATTTCTGGGTTTCACCGCTCACGCATGCGCAGTCAAAATGACATCACATGCATGCACGGAAGTGGCGAAACACGACCCGTGCACGTGCAGATGCGCAGTCGCGTCTTATCTTCTGTTCAAGATGAGAACGGGGCTCCGGAACGGATCCCGTTTGCATCCCGAGGTACCACTGTATTTATAAATGCGACCACAGCTGCTCGGATGTTAATGACCCAGAAATGGAAAGAAGACAAAGTCCCTACCAGAGAAGAATGGCAGATTAAGTTGATGGATTATGCCAAAATGGCAAAAATGACCAGAAGAATCAGAAATCAGGAAGACCAAAATTTTAATAAGGTAAGGAATGGGGAAAATTTATAATTTATCTTAAAAACCATTGTAAACAGATAAAATCATTAGTAGTATTGGAATGACACTTGTAGTTTAATGTCGGATTTTGGATATAATAGAGATGTAAAAGATTTGGATTATTATAAAAGATGCAGGAGGAAATGGTTAACAAAAAGACCCACAAACGAGAGGAGGGAAGTTCAGGAGAGTCTTTGGAATCTTGTTTTATGTTGGTTGTTGATAATTGACTGTAAAACTTTAAAAACTAAATAATTTTTTAAAAAAAAACAAAAAACCCTCTAAAGAAGGAGAGTCCACAACCTCTCAAGGGAGCCTGTTCCACTGTCGAACAGCTCTGACTGTCAGAAAGTTCTTCCCAACGTTTAGTCGGAATCTCCTTTCTTGTAACTTGGATCGATTGGTTCAGGTCCTAGCCTCTGGAGCAGTAGAAAACAAGACAGGGACAACCACCAACTTGGATGGATTTAAAAGAGGATTAGACAAATTCATGGGTGCAACAATAAAACTGCTAGCATTTTGCAAAGCTAAACAGGGTCTGGTATGGTTTCAAATTGGATGGGAGACTGAATGCTGAGATTCCTGCATTGCTGCGGGTTGGACCCTCGAGGTCCCTTCCAAACTCTACAACTATATGATTCTATGGCGAGGCTATCAATGGCTTCTAAACATGATGGATATGTTTTACCTCCCTGGTTACCTCCCTGGTATTATGCCTCTGAATGCCAGTTGCTGGGAATCACATAGGCGCCGACTCCATGGGGCCTGAGGGGGCCCGAGCCCCCTCAAAAATTCGTTTGGGGGGGCTCTGCCCCCCCAATAATTTAAGAAAATTATTAGTTATATTATGCTTTGTAAAATCACAAAATTATGTTGGTATTTTTTATTTTCCTTGTTTGACGATAGTTACCTTTTAAAATACATTCAGTAATGAGTTAAAACAAAGCCCCTCCCGATCTAGAGAGGGGGTGGGGTTGCGGGCTCTCGACCCATCAACAATCTCGCGGGTGTGGCGTCAGCCCCGCGAGAAGCGGGGATTCCCCCTAGCTCATTAATATTCACCGCCCACGGCGGCAGCCAATCGGCTGCCGCAAAGGGCGGGCCCTCACAGGTTCACTTAAGGTCGGGGCAGCCCGGGGCTCGCCCCTTTCGTTCCCCCAGCAGCAGCGGTTTGGAGGTCTTGGGCCCCCCCAATATTTTTTATAAGTCGGTATGGGCCCCCCCAATATTTTTTATAAGTCGGCGCCCCTGATCACACATGGGGAGAATGCTATTGCCCTCACGTCCTGCTTTTGGACTTCCAATGAACATCTGGTTAGCCTCTGTTGGAACAGGATGCTGGACTAGATGGGCCTTTGTGGCCTGATCCAGCAGAGCTCTTCTTAAGGTGCCAAATAAGATGTTCCCAAGCCACCACTGTCACCACCCAAAAAAAGCATATTGATAGAAGCATGGTTTCTAGGCTTACCTATAAGAGTCCCCAGCAGTTTATCAGTCTGTAATAAGCAGCTGAAACGATAGCTGTAAAAAAGGGAAAGGGCAGACAGAGAAACAACAACAGGAAAACACATTATAATGAGGACACTCATAGTTCACAGAACCTATCACAAACTGCTTTTTTAAATGCCTTCAGTCTGAAAAGAGGTTTGCTGTGAAGGAAGGGCTGGCGACTGCTCTAAGAAACCAAACAGAGAGCTTCACACTGGGTGTGCAGAGCAAGCTGCAGAGACCAGTTTTTCGGGCCCAGGCCATTACTGCATTTCCAAACCTAAATTATTTGCTGCAAAGCAAATAGTTTTCATTTTATTCCTGGTCTCCCAATTGGCAAAAACTAAGGCATTTCTGTGCGCTGCTCTGGTTTCGCCAGAAGTGGCTTAGTAATGCTGGCCACATGACCCGGGAGCTGTCTGCAGACAAAGACTCCTCAGCCAGTAAAGCGAGATGAGCGCCGCAACCCCAGAGTCGTCCGCAACTGGACTTAATGATCAGGGGTCTCTTTACCTTTACCTTTAAGATGAATTACGGTATTTGTTCTTTCTGGAAGAGACGCTTCGGCCTCCAACTTCAACATAGGATATTTGCAATTAATCAACTTGCAATTAATGTTTGAACAAATCAGATACAAAAAAGTGCATAAAGAAACAAGGAAGAGAGAGAGTCTCTTTGAAATAAAGAAGTAAGAGCGGTACTGCAACAATAACAGCATTAAATAAAAGCGTCCTTCCATAAATCCCAATGTGAGCTGAATATCCATCCAGTAAACAATAAATTGAAAGCAAACGGCATAAATGTTATCAGATTGTTTTCCTTTTTGTCTTGCATGACTTGCATTCATTAATTTTTCCATAGCTGCTAATACCCAAAGTTGCCGAGTCCAAATTTCCATCAAATCAGTCTTTAGAAATCTCAAATATCTTGCTATAGTAAGCTCAGCTGCTGTCTCCAAATAATGATCAGATCTTTTTGAGATAGGTTTTGAGCTTCCAGATCAAAGACAGGGTGATTTTTGGATTGGGGGGTTACAGATTGACCTGTAATTGCTCCTACCTTGAGAAAGGCTTTGCCCCTAAATTGCTGCACTAACGGGCAATTCTATCACAATTTCACAAAGAGTGGGTTATTTGACTTGGCTATTTTACTAAACAATAAAGGATGCATATAAAACAGATTTAGAACTTTCAAGGCAGTTTCCCAAATTCTGGCCAAGGTTGGTCTAAAACAGTGTTTCCCAAACTTGAGTCTCCAGCTGTTTTTGGACATAATCCCATCATCCCTGACCACTGGTCCTGCTAGCTAGGGATGATGGGAGTTGTAGTCCAAATACAGCTGGAGACTCATGTTTGGGAAACACTGATCTAAAATGTGTTTTACACCAATTCCCCCCCATAAGTATCTTCTATTGATTCTCAGCAGTCTTGTTCTCAGCAGATTTTTAATTCCTCCAAAGAAACCATCACAGCTTGCACTTGGATATTATAGTTTGCAGAGATAAGCCCTTTTCCCTTAGGGTTCTCTTTATAAATTAAATGTTGAATGCAATTAACTTCATGTTCTTAAACTAGTAATTTTTGTATATAAAGGAGTTTTGCATATGCTTCTATTATTTCCAACATTTGCTTTGCTTACTTTTTCCAATAAAAGAAAAGGAAATAGAAAAGGTGAGTGTTGCTTCCTTGCCCATAACTTCAAAATTTCTGGAAATTTTACATTGCCAGGTGGAAGGCAGCAAAGCTCAACTAGCCTCTTGAGTTTTCAGAAAGAATTAGAGAATATGGTAAAAACTGCACTACACCCCATAGGACAAAAGTTGGAAACTAGACACAGCAAGTATGGGGCTTGCCAAACGACAAGTGGGGAATCTCTGAGCTAGTGTACATGTTGCATTTTCCTGTGCTTGCAAAGTCCGATGCTATGCTGGGTTCAATGGGGCTTATTCCCAAGTGTACACGCATACGATCTGACCAGCGCTATGCAGTTTTTTAGTTGCAAGGAGTTCTCACTTAGTGAAATGGGAGCAACTGGTGAGAATCAGTTTGTCAGTTTCATGACAGATGGGACTCAGTTGTGGGGAAGGTAAGCAGACAATGCAAAAAACAAACATAAAAACCAGTTATATGGTAGGACTCTTAATAGCTACAATGAATACATGCAGAGATGAGTCATCGTCAAACCTCAGTGTGTGTTTCAAAGCAACTTGTGAAAGAGCACATGCCCATACAAACTGTATTTACTAACCTGGGGCCCTTGACTAAACTAGAGAGTGCAAGAACAGATACTACATGGATATAGTGGTACCTTGATTTACGAACTTAATCCGTTCTGGAAGTCCGTTCTTAAACAAAGCGTTCTTTAAACCAAGGCGTGCTTTCCCATAGCAGCAAGGGACTCAATTTACAAATGGAACACACTCAACAGGAAGCGAAACATGTTCTTAATTCCAAGGCAAAGTTCACAAATCAAAATACCTACTTTCGGATTTGCAGCGTTCTTAATCGAAGTTGTTCATAAACTAAGCTGTTCTTAAACCAAGGTACCACTGTACTTGCATTTTTTTTCTGTTGCGAACTGTCCCTGTGTAAAATTAACTGAAGAGTTTCCAACCGGGTTGCACTATGTTGCACTATGGTGGGGTCTTACCGCCCCAGTCTAGGGACAAGAGCAAACACCAATGGGCCAGGGGCAGGGGACAATTGCTGGAGAAAGCGAGGTGGCATGTCCAAGTCAGGACCAGCAAATGGAAAACGCTTATTAAATATATGGGGAATAATTTGTGTGCGGCTGAAAACGCTGGCAGCATTAAGATAAATTCCACAGTATGAGAAAGTTTTGATGGATGCAATAATGGAATACTGAATGGTATATATAGGTTTTTTAGTGAGATATGCAGGGATTTATGATACATGCAAAAGGAACCATGGAAAGAGAAGGGAAGTCACTGATATCTTAAGGATGTAAAAATGAGTATCTTAAATTAATAATAATAATAATACCTTTATTGTCATTGTACAAATTGTAAAAGAGAAAACTTAATAAAAATTATATGCAAAAAAAGGAAGCTAGCAACTAAGCAACTGGTTTCCTTTTCGAGTTGCTTTGGACTCGGGGAGGTATTTGCTGGGCAGAGTCAGGCCTGCGGGTTTTAAACAGGGGACGGGACGGTGGCGACGAACCAGGGGAGAGCACCATTATTCCCGCCCCAGGCTGCAGCTGAGTCCCCGCCGCAAGAGACGGCCCCGCGCCTCCTTCCGCCGCCCGCCCCTCGGACTCACCTTCCTCTCCTCGGCAGCCTCTCCAGGCGGTCGCCGAAGCTGCCCGGGCCGCGCCTGACGCGTCCGCGGCCTTTTCCCGAGCCGAGCCTTCGGCCCCGAGAGCGCGGCTCTTTCGCTCGGAGAGCCCGGCTGGCTCCACTTCCCGCGCGAACCCCGCTGCGGAGCTCGGCGGCGGCTTCCCCGCCGCTTCCGGAGTCAGGCCCCGGCGGAGGCCGCCTCAGAGGCAGGGGCCTTCGGCAGGCCCGGCGTGTTTTCAACATGGCAGCGTCCAGGCGGGCTCAGGTGCTGCGGCTCTACCGGGCTTTGCTGAGGGAGAGCCAGAGCTTCAGCGCCTACGGATACAGGTAAGGCTTCCTCCGCCTTGGGCTTGAAGGCCCCTCGCGGCCCTTTTCCCTCGAGCGCGGTGGGGTTTCCCCCTCTCTGAAAATAAAAAGTGCGTAGTAGGTTCTGCAGCCTTTATTCTCCAACCCAATGGGGGCTGCAAGCTGACATGTCCCTATTGACCTGGGAGGAAGCCCCACTGAACTCGAGGCTGGAAACGAATTGGGTTGGGGTCCAGATGGCGTCTAAACTTGATTGGGAGGGTGGCTGGGGGCTATTTGGTTTTTTTGTGCTATATTTTGTTGCGCACGTTTTTAGAGATTCCCCTGCCCCCCCCAAAAAAAGAGGGGGAGGAACCCTTATCTTTCACAAGCAGCTAAAATATATTAATTCTTGTTTAGTATGTTGGGGTTCTTAAGGGGAAGTTTAAAAACAACCACACGCCTTTGTATACCAAAGTTAGCATTTTGCAAAAAAAACCTTACTGCAGTACTTCCTTCCTGCCGTGTGTACCTATGTTTTTGTGTTATTTGGGACTTACTAGTAAATCTGTTGCTATTGTTATTGTTTGTTGCATTTATATACTGTGTATCTTTGATCAAGAGCTGAAAGATATTAATTCCTGTTTGGTGTACAGTATTGGGATTCTTACAGAAACTTAAAAGAAATACTGTAGCAACACACCTTTGTACGTATACAAAAGTTAGCATTTCAGAAAGAAACCTTAATGTTCTTTCCTGAAGTGTTCCTGTGTTATTTGGGACTTCCTAGTAAATCTGTTGTTGCTATTGTTATTTATTACATTTACATGCCAAATTTTATCCAAAGGAGCTCAAGGGGGTGCACATGGTTCTCCTCCCAATTTTATCCTCGCAACAACCCTGTGAAGTAGGTTAGGCCAAGAGATGGTGACTGGCCCAAGGCCGCCCAGTGGGATTCATGGCTGAGCTGGGATTTGAACCCTTGTTTCCCAACACTCTAACCATTATGTCATACTGAAGTGCAACCTTAGGGAGCAATTCTATAGCAAGATCCCCTGGGCTGAGCAGGTTAGAATCCCAGCAGGTCTCCAGCTGAGCCAGGAAACTCCAGAACAGCATCCTCCACTCAGCTACGGATACCAGCAGATCTTAACTTAGTTTAAGCCATGAAAAGGGTAATGACATGGCAGGGACCAGAAAAGGTGGGGGCTAAAGGCCTATTCACTAGGTCAGGTGACCTGGCAACTCCGCTTACACCATCCCAAAGGGTGATATAACTCAAACAGTATTTTAAATGTTTGTTTTATCTCTGTCAGGCTTAGGTCAGTGCAGCCAGCAGCAGCCCTGCTACTGAGTGGGTTTGGATCTGCTGTGACTTTACACCAGTTCCTTGAGTATAGGATTGCTTGTTGGGCTGCATAAGTGTACCTTGACCCCAGCCCTTGAAAGGCAGGATAAAAAAATCAATGAGTGAGAGCTCCTCTGGCATGGAAAATCACATAATTTGTTGCCTGGTAATGCATGTCTGACCTTCATATGTATTAGAAAGGAACAGTTTAAACTTTAAGGTGTGGCATTCACCCCCACTCTCAGGACAGCTCGACCCTGGTTGCAATGGATTTTTCCATCAAATTGTTGGTACAGCCCAATCCAAACAGAGGCAGAATGCCCCTCAATGCCAGTTGCTGCAAATTGCAAGTAGGAAGTTTGCTTTTGAGCTCAAAGGCATTTGGTTGGCCACAGTGAGAGTCATTGGCCTGATAGAGCAGGCTCTTTTTATGCTCTTATCTTATGTATATACAGATCTATGAGAAATTGTCAAGGAAGGATGCATACCGTTACAACCTTTGGGTCTGAACTGTTCATACATTGCAAGAGAGCATTGATTCTTTAAAGATATGTTTGAGTTTTCAAAAAACAACATGCAAACAAGACAAACCACAAAGAAACAAAGAACAATGGCCTTATGGAGCACATTGTTAAAGTTGGAATAAAATAAACAGAGGGTTCAGTTCACTTTTGCAGACATGGTAATAAGAGATTCCTCAAAGGGAGATTTTTAGAATAAGAACTGCATATTGATAAGGTATCCTCAGCACATACTGTAGAAGCATGTGTCAATGGGAGCGTCTGCAGTGTGCAAGTATTTATTTATAAAACCTATTTACAGTACTCATAAATCAAAATGGCCTTGTTCTGCAACCCATTTTAGAACCCTCATGTGATGGGTTAAATGTAACATCACCCAGAATTGTAGAGGGACCCAAGGGTCATTTAGTGCCGCCTCATGCAATGTTGGACAATCACAACTAAAGTAGGAGGAGGATATGCCATTTTTATTCACTAGTACTTTGACAAAGCTAGAGTAGACTACTCAAAAGTAACAGCACAATCCTAACCATGTCCAGTGGAGTTCAGTAGGGTTTACTCCCAGGTAAGTGGATACACGATTGTAGCCTGAGCCTCCTGTCTTCTGCCAACCAAACTCAGTGGATACATTAAATAAATCTTGGGACAGAAAGCCGCCCGTTTATTGATCTGGGTTTCTTTTCTTCAGGCAGGAGACACTGGTTGCATACACATCATATATTTTAAGTACCGTACAGTGGTACCTCGGGTTAAGAACTTAATTCGTTCTGGAGGTCCGTTCTTAAACTGAAACTGTTCTTAACCTGAAGCACCACTTTAGCTAATGGGGCCTCCTGTTGCCACTGCGCCGCCTGAGCACGATTTCTGTTCTCATCCTGAAGCAAAGTTCTTAACCCAAGATACTATTTCTGGGTTAGCAGAGTCTGTAACCTGAAGCATATGTAACCTGAGGTACCACTGTATATACCCCAAGAATCCTGGGAACTGTAGTTCACCCCTCACAGAGCTACAGTTCCTGAGATTCGTTTTGGTAGAAATGTGCTTTAAACATATGGGGTTTACCCAGCCGGTGGCTCTTGCCTGAAGAGCATAAACCCAGAACAACAATGAACATGGGGGGTTTTCTTCCCAAGGTTTCTTTAATGCACTGGAACTTTCTGCATAATGGCATCTATTTCGAGTGCAAGGTCTGCCAACACGCTGTGTTAGCTTTTAGTAGCATAGCCCTATGAAAATCCACCTGGAGATGCATGAAGATTGCTTTTAGGCCTGCTTACATGATAAGGGAAGGTCTGCGACATGGAAATAAATGAACATCATGTTCCTTGGTAGCTCCCATTATTTTTAGTGGGGGGTAGCCATGGCCCTGTAGTTAAGCATCTGCTAAACCACAAAGCCTAGGGCTTGCTGATCAGAAGGTCGGCAGTTCGAATCCCCGCGACGGGGTGAGCTCCCGTTGTTCGGTCCCTTCTCCTGTCAACATAGCAGTTTGAAAGCACAAAGTGCAAGTAGATAAATAGGTATCACTCCAGCGGGAAGGTAAATGGCATTTCCGTGTGCTGCTCTGGTTCGCCACAAGCGGCTTAGTCATGCTGGCCACATGACCCGGAAGCTGTATGCCAGCTTCCTCAGCCAGTAAAGCGAGATGAGCGCCGCAACCCCAGAGTCGTCTGTGACTGGACCTAATGGTCAGGGGTCCCTTTACCGTGCATGCAGAAGGTCCCAGGATCAATCCTCAGCATCTCTGAGTATGGCTGGGAAGGACTCCTGCTTGAAATCCTGGAAAGCTGCTGCCAGCCAGTGTAAGACAATGTACACTGAGCTATGTAGACCAATGTGTTGGTTAAATGCAAGACATCTTCACGGCTGTAATGGAATTGGCATTGTTATTGAATGGCTTGGGATTTCAACATGCTTGTTAATTTTTGTTCGTAGGAGCCAGTGTGATGTTCCTTGCAATGAGCCTTCTGGCACATTATTTTTAGAGAAGCATTTTACCAGCTTATTCATTCACTTAGGTTTGATCTGGAAATCAGAAGTATTTGATGTACTGCTGCAACTTGCTTTCCTGCAACTTGTTCTTTCAATCAGATGTTTGAATAACGTTGTCACTGTCATTGTAACTACAGAGTAATCTTGGGGCCTCTTCTATGCTGGAGTTTGTGAAACTTAATGAAAACACTTAACTACTCTCTTGTGGCGGATATTGTGCTCCCTTCAGGTTTTGAATTGCTTTTTGTTTTTCTCCATTGGTTTTCGTGCCTGGGTGCAGCGGGCGGCAGACAAAGTAGATTCCAAAATGGAAGTTAAAACAGCTGAAGTGCAAATCGAAAACAAAGACGTAAGAGGCTAGAGTCGAGAGATGTGCGTGAGGGCTTCTAGCAGAGATAAAATGCCACTAGGACTGAGATTAGAAAACAGTTCATTGAAGCTGCACTTAATCACCAGGGACGCCATCCAGTTCATTGTGAGTGCAACATCTGAACCCCAAAGATTTCCAAATGCTCCATGGAGGCCTGCTCCCTTACTCCGCCATATGCGTTCACAAAGGCAGTGGGCTGCACCTCCTGCATCACTACCTAGAACTTGGATAGAACTCTTGGCTCAGTGCTTATGACTTGTGCTTCAGAGTGTGGCCCCAATGTGCAGACACTGTCCATGGTGGACAGGATGATGACCCAGGACAGGATGTGGTCTCAACCTTATCTTATAAATCTTTTACTTCTAGCACATAGGGCTGGGACTTAGCCTCAAAATCCCTTATATGTGTTGTTGTTGTTGTTGTTGTTGTTGTTGTTGTTGTTGTTGTTCTACTATGCTTCACCTGAGAATCATGGGGCAGTTTACGATATAAAAACACAAACTTTGACTGCAGTCTACTATGTTCTCAGACAAGCATCTTGAGCATTGCAGATTTGTTTTGTGCATTTTCTTTTC